ACACTATGTGCTAAGCCAAATCACATAGCAAATATGCAAATTCTTATTGTAAACCATAAGGCACCAAATTAACTTTGAAGATTATTACACAGAATATAGAGGGGTTTTTTTTTCACTGTCTTAAAGTCAATTAGCACATTAAAAAGAGTACCATGAAAAGGACTACATTGACAGAATAGAAATATACAAGAAGAGACTTGGAAACATAGAAAAGCATAGAGGAAAATGTACAGAGAAAATTATTTCTATTGACCATTCAAACCTGACTCTTTCTAACTGTAGTATCAGAGGAAATAACAGGAACTGCTTAAGGGACTTCTTAGGAGCCAGACCCTGGGCTGAAGACACAGCATGTGCCACCAACCTGGAGAAATGCTATTTCCCCTTTTTCAGATGAAGAAAAAAGAGGCCTGAGAAGTTTAGGAATGTCTTATGTTACACAATAAACTGGAGACAGGACTCAAATTCTAGAAAAATCTGAGGTCAATGCCTAGACAGATGACAAAGGTCAAAATGTTATATTTACAACAAGACTCACTATACGCCTATAATGTGAATAACCACGCCTTCTGGTACACCACAAACAATCCCTGTTTGAATCTGTTTCCAGTATCATTAGTGACAACCCTCCCTTTCTCTCTCAGAAGTGTAAAGGAGACAAAACATTAAATGGTTATCCTGCTTCAATGCCAGTGGCCCATGATGAAACTTGTCTACACAATTTTCCACTGAAAAATAAAAATTGGAGGATTCCTTGTTCAAAAAGCAGGGGGGAAAATACTAGAAAAGGTTTGGAAAGACAAAGCTTTTTTTCTTTCATGTATCTGCTCTGCTGGTGCCTCACTGTCCCACCTGATCTCACTTGCAAAATAAAAGATAAAATCAGTAAGAATTTCAAGATGGCGGTAGCTGAGCGTTAAACCCTGAGCTCAAAGCCCCGTACCACTGCACAGAATGCACACCCATGAAGAGCCCTGAGTCTGCCCTTTCTCGGTCCACTCAAATGGGTCTGTGATCTTGGCATGCTGTGTCGCTGGACTGCAAACAGGAAGCAGGCCACAACCTACTATTGTCCACACTCCAGACAATAAATACTGGATATTAGGCCTATAAAATCATTTCTCTAGAAGAACTGTTTTATAGTATTTCTAATGCAACACAAAGATTCATTTCCCAAACAGAACAAGATATAAAAGTAAATTAAGTAAATATAACAGTAAATTGAGTCACTCTCTAGCATTTTATCGATAATCTCAAAAACAACTCATCCAGATAATGTAACCTACCCATGGTCTCAAGTGAAAATTCAAAACACCTGAGATGAAACAACAGTGCATTACAAAGTCTTTAATATCTCAATGCCTCATTGAAGACATGTTTCTGGTTTAAAGGCAGGTATAGGTCTCATTTGAAACTTTTTGTGGCACAAATTCAAACGTGCATGAGCAAAGCTTAAGAAACTTAAGACCAAATGGGGGCGAGGGGAAATTGAATGTTCAGGATGATTGAGGAACTATCCTTAAAAAACAGGGTTAGGAGGATGGAGGATGCGTCAATTCATTGATTCATTCCATCACTCAATAAGCATTTATTGATCAGCTACAGTGTTACAAGCGCTGCACATAATTCTGGGGAAGCACAGACAAGCAAAATATATATCCTGGTCCTCAAGGAGTGTGTAGTAGAATGAGACAAAGGGAAACAAATAAGTGCATCAACTACTTTGGCTTCCAGAAGAAGTAAATATGGAGTCCTGTGGTAAAATAGGGAGTAGTAATATGGGGTAGAGAAGTAGACACAAAGCAGGGAACAATGCAGAAGGAGAAAATTGAGCCTTGAAAGCCCAGTAGGAATCACCAGGTACAGAAGAAAGAACAAAGGCCGAGGCCTGAGAAAACATGGCACATCATGGGAAGGGCAAGCCATTCTGAATGAGGACAGCCACCTTAAAGCACAGAGCTTTAGTCAAACAATAAGTGTGTGCCTGGGTGCTTGGGCAGCAACTAGAAAAAAAGATGCATGTGGAATGATACCATGGTACAGAGATAAGAGTGCTGAGCATAGGTCCTTTGGGGGATGAAGTAGGAGAAAAAGCACTTTATTTATTTATTTATTTATTTATTTTTGTGGTGCTGGGCATTGAACCCAGGGCTTTGTGGATTTGAGGCAAGCACTCTACCAATGAGCTATATCCCTGGCTCCAAAAGCCCTTTTTAAAAAGGCCAAAAAAGGTAGAATTGAGGAAACAGGACTCAAAGGTATTTAAGATCTTAGTAATAAATTTTCCCTCTGGTTCTATAATCTGTTTTTCTTTTTTTTGGGGGGGGAGCCGGTGGAGGGGGACCAGAGATTGAACTCAGGGGCACTAGACCACTGAGCTACATACCCAACCCTATTTTATATTTTATTTAGAGACAGGGTCTCACTGAGTTGCTTAGCCTCTTACTGTTGCTGAGGCTGGCTTTGAACTCGCAATCCTTCTGTCTTAGCCTCCAGAACCTAGATGTGCACCACCAGCCAGGTGGTTCTATGATCTTTTTAAAAATTTTTTTTCAAGATTTTTTCTTTTGGTGGGGTGCTGGGGACTGACCCCAGGGCTTTGTGCATGTGAGGAAAGCACTCTACCAACTGATCTATGTCCCCAGCCCACTATGATCTTTTAATCAAAGGAAATAATGCCATTTGTGTCGCTCATTCATGGACCCATAGTAAAAATTTGTTGTTAGAACTAAAAATGTGTTTTCCATCTCTTCTTCCTCTTCCTAATAAAGTCACACTTTATCCACATCAGTATGGCTTAAGGCAATCACAGAAATCCAAACCAATGGTTAATCAAATATTTAGATTTGACTTAAGAACACACTATCAATTCACTGCAACATATTTGCTGCTCAATTTGTTTAATACTATGGTTGATTTTTTTTAAATAATTTTAATTGTCTCTGTTTCTGCTCATTCCCTTAGAATAGGCTTCTAGAAGATAAATTATCAAGCCAAAGAGTGTGAATATTTTTAAGCTCTTGGTACATGACAGTGTAGTCTGATATGAAAACTAGATTGATTACATCAACTACAGGTGACCAAGTAAATTCATAAGGGATTAAAGTTGCTATAATAACTCCTAAAAGAGAAAAGTGAATATAATAATTTAAAATAGATTTTTGGCTTTTAATAACCAGTCATGACCAAAAATAAAGACAGAGTAACCCTTTTTTTAGGTAACATTCAGGTCAATAAGTGCATTTGTGTATGTAAACATACATAAGCACAAATACTGGGTGAAGTAGAAGAGTTCATAATTTCTAAATAAGATTAAAAACAGTGAAATCATAATATAATCTCCTACATGTAAAAAGGAAAATACAATTTATTTTAGACTTCCCATACTATTTTACCTTGTTGTCTATATAGGAATAATAAGTTTTCAATTGTAATAATCAGATGTTCAGATGAGAGGAAAAACTGATAAAATCAACAAATCACTTTTTAAGGTAGATTATGTTAGTAGTGTATTTCTCCAGCTTAGCATTCTGCAGGGTACTTTTTCCAGCTATTTTCAAAAAGCAATACCTCTTTAAGAAATGACTCAAATTCTTCAAAAGTCAAAGGACTTTGTCACCCACAAAGTACCATGAAAGCCAAATCTGAAGCTACTAAAAGTTAAATCTCCTTAAAAAACTCTTTTCACAGTCACTATGGGAAAGAAGTGTAAAATCATCCTATGTATCACCAATTGCCAGGATATTCTCAAATACCTGAACCATTGCAAATAATAGGACTGAACTATACTGATTTTGAGAAATCAAGCAGTAGCCAACCTGTGCATTTTACATCATTTGAGACATCCCTCTTTCCTTCTTGACTCAGCCAAGAAGTGAATTTCCTCTATGGGGACTGTAAGCAGAAACTTTACAGATTTCATACAACTGGGCAGGAAGTTTAGCACTTGAAATATTTCCCTTCAGACAGGAGGGGTATGGAACAGAGTGAAAGAAGTGGAAGTTTAGAGGATTTGAGTTGAGATTGCAAAGCTTCTTTAAATGATGCTGTCGCTGGCATCTGGGTGGACAGGAGCCAATCTTCAAATTCTTTGTCTTGTCAGCAGTGAACAGGAAAAAATGTACTGCTTGAGTGATGTCTCAGAAGTTGCTTTCACTAAATTTTGCCCCTCCTGCCCTAAAATGAATGAAATATTTTCAAAGCACACTTCCAGTGAGTCAAATTGAAACCTGCAAACCAAGTTCGTGCCCAGTTCTACGAAATCCTGAAGTTGTTAGACGCGAGTTTTATTACACCACTCTCATGGGCTCATGTGCATAGCAACAGAGCAGAGGATAGATTTAAACCAGGAGGAAGGAGACTGTAGGACCAAGGACGGGGGAGCGCACATGTGGCTTTAATATCCAACAGCTGCGATAGAATGGTAACCCCCCCACACCCCCCCGCCAACCCCCGCTGCTCCTTCTGTACCCGCCCCGCCAAGATGTTGCAAAGACTATAACTAAGGGGACTTCACTGCCAGGTTATCTGAGGAACTCCAGCTCCAGTAGATTCGAAGAATTTTTTTAAAACTACATGTACCTGAATGCAGCAGCTTAGATTTTAATCACCAAGGCTTTATAACAAAACCTCCAGGGTTAGGAGACCGAGGGAAGGGGTGGGGGGGTGGGGGGGTCACACTGCAAACTGATCAAACTGCGATGGAGGAAATAAAAAGTGAGGGAAGATCAGGCAGCCAGGATTTCCCGCTCAGGACGCCTTCCTTTAGAGCTTAACTTTTCCAATTCTCAGCTCTCCAAGGCCCTGGTCACTCAGTGGGACTCTAACCATTGACAAATCCCTGCAGCGGATCATCGCGACCGCGAACTCCGCGTCCCAGCGCGGATCGGATGCCCCCACCGGTCCCTGAGTGCCCACAGAGACAATGCCGCGGACGCTCCAGCACCCACTCCCCCTCGCCGCCCCGCGGTCCCCCTGCGTCGCAGCGCTGGGACACTCACCGACACTAGGAACTCCAGGGTGCCCACGTAGTCCCGCTCGGTCTTCTGCAGCTCGCTGAGTACGCAAACGCGCAGCCGAAGCTGCTTCTCCATGTCCTTGGCGCTCTCAGCGCGGCCGTCCCCTCGGCTCTCCTCGCTCATGGTGGGCGGTGGGACGCGGGGCTGGCCGGCCGTGCTGCGCGCTGCCCCGCGCGCTTCTGCTGCTCTGCTCCCCGCGGCTCCAGAGGAAAGTTGCCGCCTCGGCAAAGTCCGAGGAGGGACGGACGACTTTACATGCTGTGATGAGGATGGGGAGGTGGGAGAGGAGGGCACTCAGACTGGAACTCCCGCGCGACAGGCGCGGGGCTCTGCACAGGAAACTCCCGGGAGAGCAAGCTCGCTCTGAGCGCCCAGCCCCGCTGCTCCGGCCTCACGCGGCCTGAGCCCGAGTGTAGGCGGCTCCTGCAGCCACAGCGGTGTCTTGGACATTCATCAAATGCTTTCTATCCATGTGACTCCGACCCTTTACCCTTGGCCAAATCTCAGGAAAAAGGAAACACAACCCTGGGGAAGTGTGTCGTGCCAGCTAACTAAACACACACACACACACACACACACACACACACACACACACACACACTCTCTCAGCACTTGAGATGGAACTAATTGGAGGTTCCCAAACCTAAGAGGACACACTCCAAGACAGCTCCAGTGTTGCTCCTGAGACTCCCGCCTATTGTTAGGCTTTAATGTGTTTTGCACAAATCCTGAAAGCAAAGAAACAAGTCCCCGGCGGTTACATAACTTGATGGGAACAAAAACAACCCCGGTATTGACCCTCCCATCTTTGAAAAGAAACACATTGATTTCTGGTTTTATTCAGGCACAAAACAGGTTTGCATTTAAAAACCCCCAACTGAGAATATTTCACAGAACAGACACCCTCCTGTCTGCACTTGGAAAGTCAATTAGCATAATAAATGAGGATGCTATAGGAAAGTGACAGCCCCTACCCATTCAATAAACTCCAGATACAATAAGCATCACCCTTGCAGCGGGTGTTTAGACATCTTTGCATGTCTATAACTTTTCTTCAACGTCCGCATAGTATGTAAATTCGTGGAGAGGCAGAATCTTTGTGCTAGCTTTGTTTCTAAGAGCTGCTGTGATTTAAAAAGGTAAAACTGTTACTGAATGCTCATGGAAAAGAGACAAAGAAGGAAAGAGAGAGATTATCTCAGGTTTGAGGATAGAAACAGAGCATTCTGATTTTAAGGTTTAAATTCATTGCCTTTTCTCACTTGGAAATAGAGTCAAGACCTCCCAGAGCTGATTTCTTCTAATGAATGTAGCAAACAAAATAATCCATATATATTTTCATCTAGATGTTAACCACATATTTTTCAGAATCATTTTTTTTCTATTTAAAACAACTTTAAACAGTCCACACACAACTAATGACATCTAAATAAGTTTATTTAGATGAGTGAATGGTTTTGATGCAAGAAAGGGGCATATTAATTTGTTCCCATAGTTGAAAACACTTGTGAAACTCTAAAAAAAGATTTTTTCCTCAGTATTTACATTAAAATCAACATCAGTTTGATGATGATGTCTTTTCAGAGCATGATTTTAGGCTACAATAAGTAATGAGACAGAGAGGAATTGTACTTTCTTGAAGGAAAGATGAAGTTTTGAATGATGTGTGTGGAGCTGATGAAAAAGATGCAGATTTTCCTCTTTCTTTTGCATATGGCTAAAGAGATAGCTGAGAGCAGAGAACAAATAATGTAAAAAGCTTTACACCCTGTGGAGGAAGAATGGAGAGCAAGGCACATTCAAGAGCAGACCTCACAGCACCTGGTAAACAATAAACAAAAGAAAAGGAAGAACTAGGAATCACACATCCAGTGGTGAATGGAAAGCTCAAACCTAACCTGCCTCTCCATGGACTACAGACAGCAAGGAATGAATGCATCTTTTCCTCTTTAGGTCTCCACCCTTCCTCAATGAAAAAAATAAATAAATAAATAAGTTACCTAGAGCTTTTCATTAGAAACTTTAGATAATCCAGAGTAAATTTATCTAGAGCTTTCCATCAGGAACTCTAGATAAAAGAGAATCCTCTTAAAATTATCCCCAAACAGAAAAGTGCTTATGCAATTTCCTTTTAACAACAACTTTAGTCCCTAAGCAACCCACTCAAACTGCGGTCTCCCCTTTGCAAACTATGTACTTGATTGTGAATCACCCCTGAAGTTTAACCCATCCAAAACATTTGCCTTGGCTTCACCAACATGCCTCCAAGACCTTGTGAAGAATGTAGTGTTAAGGCACCAGGACTACAGATGCACTTACTTCTAGGCAAAATTTCTCAAAGTGGACCATAGACCATTGCATTACAAAACTTAAGCTCTCCTTAAAGTCGAATATTCCTGGGCTCCTCCCCCAAAATGTATTGAAAAAGTATCTCAGAAATACACTTTAATGTCTTTTTAAAAAGCTCTCAGATATTCTTAGGCTCACCAACATATGAGAACCACCATGTGAGGACTTAACAACAGACTCGGAGAGAGTCATAAGTAAGTAACTATATTAAAGGCAAGGGGCAATGAATGCTTTGCCAAAAAAAAATGCAATGGAAGATTAATTAATTAATTTTTAAAAATTTTAAAAGTACAATGGAAGTTCAAAGATACTCATTTATTTGTGCAAATTCAAATTTTTCTCAGAAGTCCCTGTGTATATTACATTTACAATTTCTGACCATTTTTCTGCTCCTCAGTCTGCTCCTCAATATCATCTATAATTAATGAACAACTCCAGGACACCATGTAATGCCTTCTGCCAGTCACCTTTCAGTGTCTTCTGTAACCCTGGCTGGAGTTCTTAATTCTCCATCAAAGACATAAGAGCATAAGAAAACAGGGCTGGAGTATCTGGAAACTTTCACTTTGATGGTAAATAAGGTCTTTCATAAACTCTGAATGTGTTGTATCCCTTCCCACTTCCCCTATTGAAATCTCAGGCTCTGCCTGCCAGGAAAAGGAAAGCAACAACCAAAATGATGGACAAGATCCAGTTTTTTCCTGAAATACTAATGAGGTTGAAGCCTCCAATAAAAAAGAGATGAGAGAAAAGAACATCAAGAGAAGTAGCTGAGTACTAAACTAGCTCAGCCATTAAATTTATTTCGTATGCATGAACTTGGTGTGGTTAGAATCCATTATCATAAAGTTCAAAGAGCCAAAGCTCAGGAGCACAGTGGGCTTCCTTTGGTCAGGCCCAGAGAAGGAAAACTCCTGGACTAAGATACTGAAAAATCCAAGGCTTTGCGAGAAGACAGCTCTCCAAACCTATTCAGAAGAGGTCATTTTAGCCTCTTCATCATTTTTATACTACTATTTGTCTGGGTAAAGGACTAAATTAAATTAGATAATGAAGATCAGTAAAAGATATAGCTTAAAAAAACAGCAAGATTGCTTTAATGCATAATCATCTTGTTAAATAGAGGACTCCAAGTATCCAAATATTCTTTATCCACAGGTAAAATTGATTCTGTAATTTCCTTTACTGCTCTGATCTATGATAGATGTCCCTATAGTATATTAGTGTAGAAAAATATTACAGACACCTTGCATTTATGTTAGTTTATATTTTAAGAGTCTTCAACAAGAAGTAATTCTGATAATATTTATTAATTTAGTTAATAATTCCTGCCTAATCCCTCAGTTACTTGAACTTCACTTTGTTGATCATTTAACATAACAAGTACAGCATATTCTGGAGCACTTAATTAATTCTATCATACTGATACAAGTATTTAGAATGTGTCTTGAAAAAACAAAATATAGTTTTCATAAACCATATTTTAATTTCCAGGACAATATTTTATGGCACAGCAAACTAAATAAATGTTTAGATGATATTATTTCAGCAAGGCTCTAAAGTTGTTAAAGATACGATCATTTTCAGATTAGCTTGATTAAGAACAAATCATCCTCATAGCCATAATCTAACATGTAATGGGTAATCACTTTATCAGTTTGAGGACTTAACTTATGACCATCCCAGCAAAATCAACAGGCAGTTTGGGTCTATTATTAGTCTCAGAAGAAGATCATTCTTGCAGTGTTCATCTGCCTGCCAAACTCCCTCCCGGCAATTTCCTTAAAAAATTTGTCTGATCCATATACCTAAACTACACCCTATTTCTCTAGTCCCTGGAAAAATTATTCTAAAGAGTTCTACTCATTTTCTGTAATAGGCAGAATAATGCTCACACACATACAAAGACACCTTCATCCTAATCCCCAGAACTACAAATGTGTTGCTTTAAATAGCCAAAGGTCATCACATACAGATGTGATTGAATTAAGGATCTTGAGATGGAGGGATTCTCCTGGACAACCAGAGAGACTGGGCTGAGGGTGGGAGGACCTAATCACGTGAATCCTTAAAAGCAGAGAACCTTTCCAGGTGTGATTACAGAGGGAGATGTGACTGTGAAGGATGGTCAGAGATGTAGCACTGCATTGAAGATAGAGGGAGCAAGGCACAAGCCAAGGATCACATGCAGACTGTACAAGCAGAAAATGGTTCCCTAGAGACCCCAGAAGGAATGCACCCGTTAACACCTTGATTTTAACCCAGTAACACCAACCTTGGACTTCTTTTTTATTTTTAATATTTTTTTAGTTGTAATTGGACACAATGTCTTTATTTAATTTATTTTTATGTGGTGCTGAGGATCGAACCCAGCACCTCACATGTGCTAGAGAAACACTCTACTGCTGAGTTACAACCCCAGCCTCCCAACCTTGGACCTCTCACCCTCAGAACTATATGGTAAGAAATGTGTGTTGTTTTAAGCTGCTGAATTTATTATTCAGCAATAAAATCTAATATATTGTCTTTACCTCCCAATCTTTTCCCAAATTCCTATAATATGATTACTCTCTGATTAGTGGAATAGCACTGATCTTGTAAGGGTTATCAGGGTCTTTATGCTGCATCCAGTGGTCCTTGTCCTATTTTACCTTCCTGTAGCATTTGACAGTGGTGGCTATCTCTCATTTAGGTAAAGCTCTTTTCTCTGCTTTCTATGATATTGTTGATCTGGTTTTTCTTTGATCCATTTTGCCTTTCCTTGCAGAGTTCTCTTCCGTGGCCCATTTCTGAAAGTTGATGTTCTTGGGAGTTTGATCCTAAGCGACCTTCTTCCTCTTGGCCCTTTATTCGTCATCTCCTATTCTCAATTGGTTAAGGATTGCCTCATGGGCATTAACCGGTCCTTATACTTCCATGTTACCTATGCATAAGTGCCTAGAGTTTTTCACAGAGAAGATGTGAGCCAGAGGTCAAAAAGGATAATCACTTTTAGACTGTTCTTACATGAAGTTGGTCTGAGCTTTTGTAGAACTGGTTCTAT